CATTAAAAGCTGGACTAGATGGGCTTATGGATGATTCAACAGAACTGTTTGTTTATAACTTATATGTGTTATTTTTCTTTAAAGTGATGGCAAAACAGGATGCAGTAAAACAATGTTATAAGATTTGCTGCCCAACATAAAACTTAAGGACAAATAAAAAACCTTTCTCTTGTTCATCCTAGTTTGATGGAATGAACGCTGGATATTTGTATTACATTCCTCCATGATTAACTGAATCAGGGTTTATTCAGTTAACCTTCTGAGCTAGAGTAATAAAACACATTATGCTGTATTTTAGCTTATTGCATTGCACAAAATCCACATTTGTAGTTCAAATAGTATGTTTTGTTTTGGTATCTTCAGGTCACTCTTGACTCTTAGCAACTGCCTAGACTAGTCCGTGTTGTTTTCTTGGCAAGATTTTCAGAAATGCTTTCTGCCTTCTTTCAGCCTAGAGTATATGACTGGCCCAAGGTTACACAATTGGCTTTGTGCCTAAGGCAGGACTAGACTTTTATTCTCCTTGCTTCTACCCTGGTGCCTTAAACTGGTTCTCCTAGCATGCTTATCCATATTCCGTTGGACTACGGTTTATCAATTAATCCAATTTTCTACTTACATTTTACAGATCCACAAACTAGCTGCACAGGACACGTTTGCATATTTCAGGTTAAAATGTAGTTGGCTAACTTGTTGTTTAATGTACTCTTTGGACTCAGCTACTGGCCGAGTCCACAATCTGCTAACCTTTAGATAAAATACTATAAAGAATTTATGGAGTTAACATAATTATAAGAATTTCTACATTACACTGAACCATAAACCATAACCACATTGGTCAAGTTCTCACAACATAGCATTTGGCTAGCAAACTGCAAGTCCACAATAGACCAGTTATTTCATAAATAATCTTATGTAATCTTAGTAATCAACAGAGACATGTAAGATATACCCTAGTGCACTACATTTAAAATGCATCTAGTATACTTCAACAAGAGTTAACCTTTAGCTATTTTCAACAAGAACAACAACAAACCCAATAAGAATTTTTTAGAAAAACAAAGTTATGGTAATTAGACAATGGATTAAAATTCCCATCTCCCCCATTTTCAGAAGTTATGCTAGTTAGAGATTGTGAGAATTACAGCCTACCATATCTGGAGACCATTCAGCTGGAGGAAGATATCCTAACCTTGCTTACATAACAGGCTGGGAAGCCTCACCAGCATTTTAAAACCAGTAATACACTCAATAACAATCAAACAGCATCTCCCAAGTACTGCTTATACAAGTATTAGTTAAGAGTTAGAACTGCCCTACTATTATAAAAATAACATATTACAGAAAGCATTTGTAAATGTTTTGTAAAACTACCAATTATTATATTTGTTATTTCACAACTTTTAAAAAATGTATCACTATTAAATACTGACTACCTTTTAGAACTTTGAATCCCACCCTATTCTTCTACCTAAAAGCAAAATGTTGTTATCAAACAACTTACACTAACCAGTCTTATTTGCAACTCTCTCTTTCCACTCATTTATTACTTTCAGCTCATTGCTCCTCATTGGCTCATTTTATCAACCCCAGACAGCACCTGGGGCAATTAATTAGCCATCATTCATTCTTTGTTAGTCAAAGGAAATCCTAATACAAATCCATTTCAAGAGGAATTCTGTCAGTAGGCCCAGGTAATCTATTATTTGGAATTATCTTTAGGAATCAATTTCCTTCCAACTTTACATTTGTTTGAAGAACTTTCAAAATTAATGATGCCAAAACTAGCAAATAGCCTTTTTTCCCCTCAAAGGAAAAATTGAAAAAAGAGATGTAGGAGAAGATGTGTTATGCCGTTTGATGTTAGCTGTAAAGCAGTGTTTGGGCATTTCTGAGTTTTTGGACTTCAGCTCCCAGAATTCCACTGCCAGCATGGCCATTGGTAAGAACCTGTCAGTTTAAGCCCATTATCCTGGAAATGGACAAGGTTGGAAAACAATACGGTAAAGTGTAAAGCCCATTATCCTGGAAATGGACAAGGTTGGAAAACAATACGGTAAAGTGTAAACCCACAGGTTAGCATCGTGGGCTATATTATCATCATAGGCTAATTGAGCTGTGTGTGGCCTTATTATTAAGAGCCCACATAACTCTAATTATAGTTCATGGTTTAAGATTATATGTTTCATGCAACTGTAGAACACCATCATTTCTGATTAACAACAATGACATTTGAAATAACTTAATTAATTTCAGCTCAACTCAATTATCCATGGCCCTAATTTTGTTTCATTCCTTTTACTGTTTAAATGTTTATTATGTAATTGTTTTTTGTCTGCTGGATTGACTTTTTATAATTGAGTGATTTAAAATGTTGTGAATAAAAAAAAAAGATAAACAAGCCATAATCAGTTGGAATCACATGGTAGAAGAAAATGACAGCATACGCATGTGCATAGTATTCACATCCTGCTGCTGTGGCCCTAGGATATATCCAGAACTACCTTGGAAACTACAATTCTGCTCATCTGCTCCAAACATCTAGAGATGACTTTTTGAGAGACCTGCCTCAACATGCAGGTGGTATGGACTAGCTGTTAGGCCTTAATTGTAGTGGTCCCTGTGCTTTGGAATATGCTCCCTCTAAAAACAAATGTTGTCCCAAGTCACCTTTTCTTCTGAAGAACCATGAAGACTGTTTATTTCAATGGGCCTTTGATCCATGGATTGATGAGCAACTAGAGATTATGTTCTTACTAGAACTGGAATATTGATTTTTTGTTTTCTGTAGTCACACAACAGCGGCGGTAGACCAATATTGTAAATACATACAAAGTGCTAATTGGAGTGGGATGTAACCTGAAGATTGTATGATTTAACTGTTTTATTGAATAAACTACAATTTAGTCACTCATTTACCAAATTATAGTTGTGCACAAAGTTTAAAACACATTTAATGGTAGTTTATTTTGGGGGGATACAGGCTAGTGATAGTAGTACCAATTCTAGGATAGTTTTTATCCATGAACTGTTACATTGATGTGGAAATAAATCTAAACATTAAATAAATCATTCTAATCTAAGTAACCTCTTTTCAAAGTTTTAAACTAGCTATCAGATGTAATGGGTTATAATAGAATATCAAAAAATAGAGAAATAAAAGTTCAGAAAAAAAGACCAAATGCAAAAAAAAGTGAGGAAATGTCCTAAAAGACAAATCAGGTTCTCTATTTCATCATGTACACTATTGCTATTTAAGGTATGTTAATAGATACAAACGTTTCCCAATACATTATTCTCATAAAAGAGTCATGATATTCCTGTGCTTTAGTAAGTGGAATCTGTGAATCATCAGTGGCAACTGATATTACAAACATTGTAAAACAATATTTACAGAACAAACTGAATTAACTATTTTCCTTGACTCATGTATGATGCAGACCTTCTCAGAAGAAGCTAAGGAAAACGCACACATGGACCTCTCAGGATATCCTTCTCAATTCTTTTTAGGCTATTTTGAACTATGTAGTGCCAATGATTTAAAATATAATTTTATTCCATATACTGAAAACACCACAAATCTGATTCTATAGTGCCATATATTCATTACAAATTACATAGCAGAATTCAACAAATTAATGGATAAAAGCTAATTATGCTGAAACAGATAATCTTAACAATGGATTTATATAATTATTTATTTATTGAGTACATTACCACTGCCAAGTACAGTTTGCAATACAAAAGCAGTTAAAACCAATTGAGTTTTTGAACAGAGCTAAACCCTGACTCAGAGATCATTTGGGAGATATTAGAATTTTGTGTGAAAAGGGGGGAATTTACCTCTATTATTTAGTATCATTGCATCCATTTGAAAAAAATGGAAAAGCAGATTTGAAAAATCTGCATACACCTAAATTGCGTAGTGGATAAGCTACAGTACTCCAAATGCAGATTATTTGTCCGATGACTTTGTTAATTTTGTTTATTTGGGAGCAATGCCTTTGAGTCAGTCTTCACACCTGGTGGCGACGGCCTGGACAAGTCCTTGCAGCATTTTTAGCAAGATTTCAGAAGTGGTTTGCCATTCCCTGCTTCCTAGGATAAGAGACAATGAGCAAAGCTACTCAAGAATCCAGAGGACAAATAGCAAGATATATTGCTCCACGCTACCTATCCATGTATTCAAATTGAATACCAATCTAACTATTGTAAAGAAAAGAAACCTTACTAGATGCTCCATTGGTGACACTACATTAAAGGTGGCATCTAGACTACCTTGATGATTAGTTTCTTTTTGGTAAACCAATTGAAGACATTGCAAAAAAGCTTTAAAAGTTATGTAACACATCACTGAAGGAAACAGGCAGGTAATAATCTCTTCACAATCCCAATTAACCCAGTTGCCTTGAGCATTTTGGAAATAGAACAGAGTTGGAAAGGACCCTAGACCTATCCCAGTCTAACCCCCTGCTTAAGGCAAAAAATCCAGGTCAAATGATTATTCTTGAAAAAGTCCAGTGATAGCTTTTCTTTTCTAAGGTGGAAGCAGTTTAGGAGAGTAAGTCAGTATCCCAAGAACGAATAAAAACAGTCATTTCTATAATATGCATCTAACTCACTTCTTGGATAGTCTGGAAATGCATTGTTTTATGTTTTAAAATGATAGATCTTGTTTTGGTGGCTGCTACATTGGAATCCAAATGAACTGAGCAAATACTGAAACATTTCTAACTTAATGATTTATATTTTAAAACACACACACCATTATCCCACGTCACCGATTTGCATATCATCTCCATGATGCCCTACATACGTTTGAAAATCTTATAGGACAACAACAACCTGCAATTATAACACAGCATTTACAATATACTTAAAAAAATTAAGACCGGGAAGAAATCATCCTGAAGTTGGACGCAAAGTATATGGATCTCGGTAAAATTAGTCCCATCACTCCAACCACCACCATTTTCCTGACAATGAACTAATTCTACCGAACGTTTCTTTGTAGCGCTATTATCACTGCCCAGACCAAACATGGCATTTAAAGCTTCGCCTCCTTCAGTATTAAAGATGGCCGTCCTGGTAACGTCACTCGAAACTCCGGAGATCGTCCCCTGAGAAGTGAAGTACGGCTGCGCGATTCTGAAAAACGGAACGGGCAAAATCGAGCTGTAGATGCCGGCGGAGTTCGGTTAGCGATGGCTGGGTAGGCAAAACTCTTCGTGATTTCCTTGAGGGTTATCCCCCTCCTTCGTTTATAGTAAATATCTCTTCAAACTCTTTGTAAAAAATCTGCCTCATCTTTCTTCTTTGAAAGAATGTTCGTTCTCAGTCATTCGATCTTAATCCTAATTTTAAAGAATTGCCTCTCCTAAAGCGGTTTCTTTCTCGGTGGTCGGTTAGCTCTTTGTGATTTCCTGTAGATTGCAGATTCTTGCCCTGCATTAGGCGAAACCACTCGCCCTTTGAGGCGTTTCTTGGCGCGGCTTCTTCGATAATGGATCATATTGGCAGGCAGAGCTAAAGGATGCTTCCTGAACTCCCATTTGGGTTCCCAAATAATTATCCGGTGCAAAGACCTAGACTTGTGTTTCTTAACCTGGGCGACTTTAAGACCTGTCGATTCTAACTCCCCAAATCCCCCAGCCTGCATATGTATAAGAGAATTGAAGTCTTGCCTACCTTCAAGTTTCCAAGTTGAGAAACACTCGTCTAGATACCGGAAGCCTGTACACAAGAAGAAAACTGGATTGTAAATATACAGATGTGCTATGTGGCACTTTCCTGTTATACTCCTGTGGAAAACAGCATGGCTGAAAGGCAGATATATGCATCCAATTACCTGCTTGTGCATGAAATTCTCACCACCTCAAAACAGGCCTTTCACCCCACTTTTTTTTTAGTTTTTGTAGCAGCAACCTTAGCAGTTTGCAGTGTCTATCACCTGATGCCAGTGCTGCCTACCAGGTCTGCTTTCTTTTACCATTTATTCCTGCCTCAAACTAATGGCTCCTGGCATTGTTTCCCCACAGATTTCAGTTGTGATTATTTTCAGAAAACTGACCCGGGAAGGGAATCTTCCTGCCATTGTTTTTCTCTTTCTCTTTAAAAAAATTATGTCGACAAAACAAACAGGTAACTCTTCCTGAGCACTTTATTTTTAAAATAGATGACCTAGTCATAGAACAAGGCACAACCTTTTCTTTCTCTGAAAAAAATAGTGTTGAGATTCCAAGAGCCAATTAAACATTGAACATTCATGCCAGCCAAAAAACTTTCATGTATTTTTTTTATGTTCAAACAATGTACTAAGTCCATGAATCATAGTGGAGTTTTATAGTTGACTTAAGCTGCCAAGCATTTTTTAAAATATGAATACTATGATTTGCTTCCAATTAATAGCTTAGATAAGCAACATTTTGACTAAAATTTTAGATTGAAAATGCTTCTCATTATAACTGTCAAAATGTCGACTTTAGTTTCTTGCAAGAGGAAATAGATCATATTATATTGCTGACAAATGAGAAACAATTTCCTTGTTTCAGTTTAACTTATACTTTGTGAGATAGTACAGTAGTGTTTATCTGGCTGACTATAATTGGAGGTCAATTTTGCATGTGAAAATCTTGATTTTAAATATATTTAAGAATCTATTTTAAATTTTTCCTACCCTCTCTCGGTCCTTTCCAGGATGCTGGATTAGGTTCCTATTTGGATTTTTAAAGTTCATAATTCTGTTCACATTATGGTGAAGTAGAATTATATAGATTGAATTGCAAAAGGTCAACCTTACTCTGAATTTAGAAAACGCCATTCCAATGCAAAAACTGTTTCTTTTTTAAAAATATGTTATCTCCAAATGTCTTCAAGTTAAGGCAATTATGTACCAATGTGCCAAATGGACTGCTGAAGTTCAAGTATTGTAGTTCATGTATTTCATCCTATTTGATCTTTAAGCTTGCCATATTCGTTTGAAAGGAGTCTTGCAAATAACTTGTGCTTTCAAGAGACATGTAATTCTGTAAACAGCATATAAGCCTGGTGTGTTTCTAGTTTTCTCCCAGAAAGGGGATAAACCCTCTATGCAAAAACAAAAAAAATATCTCAGAAGTTAGCCTGTAGCTGCATTGGACAACATACTGAAAGACTTGGAAGGAAATTTTCCATTTCTTGGATATTGTAAGAACTCATTCTGTGTGATTAGTTAATAATTCATGTATTATATCAATCCAGAAAATTGAGGAAACCTTGATCCAGCTAACCTTGAATGTACATATTGTGTGAACATAGCCTGCACAAAAAATGGGAATTCAAGCTCCTATAGCCCAAGGAGTCTGGGAAGTGCCATGTATGGGAAGATGGCTGTTATGTGTTATAAAATTAGCACATTAAAAGTTATATTTTTAAAAAGCTAGGCATTTAGCATCCCTTCCTATTTAATATTAGTAATACTTCATTTAGCTGCCTTTCAAATTAGAGTATGATTTCCATCATCCCCATCCAATCCCGCTACTATGCATCTGTGATATTGTACAAGCTTAAGACATTCTAGTAGTTTGTTTAATTTTAAATTATTTTAATTTTAAATTAATTTTAAATGATTTTATATACTTAGTTGAGAATTATGAAGTTGTATCAGCAGAAAAGTAGGCTTGATTTGTATTAGATGTATATAAATATCCAAACAAAGTACGAAAGAGCTTACTGAGCAGTCAGTTTGATCTGAAACCTATTGTCATGGGATGCATTATTCCTTTTTTACTGTATGTATAAATCCTATTATAAATTTCCTTTCCTACATCTTATGTAGGTTTTGAAGCCCAGAGCAAGACTTGCTGAAGTTGGTTTCCTTGTTGCAATTTAACTTCTCTCTTTCTTTGAAAGTGGACTAGGTAATGTATCTAACCTATACACTAAATTGTGCAATTTCTTCTTTTCTGTCCAAACAGAGTTAATCATGGTTTGGTCCCACCGACAAACCAGCAAGTACTGGACAGAGAGGTCATTTTGGAACTGGAGGTGACATCCAGAATGTAAATCAACATGGGTTTGAAGCTTTTAGCTTGCCTGTTCAACTTCCCCGTTGGAGTAGTTTATGGATCCTTGTCTCTCTTTATTTCAATTTTGCATAATGTGTTTCTCCTCTACTATGTGGACACCTTTGTTTCTATATATAAAATTGATAAACTTTCCTTTTGGATTGGGGAGGTAAGTTCTTAACTGAAAATCAGCATTAGCCCTTCCTTTCATGTAATAGCATGTGACATTTCAGAAATTAAATAAATTATAATGTATTATGGAATAGTTATCATAGAAGATGCGTGAACTATTGATTAGCCAGTATGTATGCAAACGTGGCAAATATATGTGTGCTATAGCATTTGCATTGGTTGTAAAGATTCAGTGACAGTAAAATGTAAAAATATAGCTTGCTAGAATTCTGGGTAGTTTAAAATGAGTTGCAGTAATAAATAATTTCAGAGCACAGTAATTAGTCTGAAAGAATCTGACACTAGATTCTTAGAGGTATGCAATATTTAGATTCAAAATCGATAAAAGTGCTTTGCATCTTGTGAGGACACTCTTGGTGTACTTTCAAGCAACTCCTTAAAATGGTATGTATATAGGCATTTCAATTATTGTGGTTATACTTCCCAATATAGGCATGGCTAACTTGTAAGATAATAGATTAGGTTAAATATTTCAGTATCAAAGTCATATTCTTTTTCTTTTTTCGTAGACTGTTTTTCTGATCTGGAACAGCCTCAATGATCCTCTGTTTGGCTGGCTGAGTGACAGAGCTTTTCTTAGCACCCAGCAGTAAGTAGAGTTTCATTTATGTCCTGCTTCAAAGTCTAAACAGCATAGGAAGACAGAGAGAAGCTCATTGACAGTAGATATTTCAAAGAATGTAATAATTACAATTATGTTTCATTAAACATGTCAGATTTCACACTACTAGTAATGCATCTTGCAGACATTCAGACACCCTAATCAGAAACTAGCATAAAATTGGAAGCTCTACAGAAAAAAAGATAGCTACTGTATTTTTCAGAGTATAAGACGCACCTTCCCCCCCTAAAAGAGCGTGGAAATGTTGGTACACCGAATAAAGCCATTTTTGCCCCCCGTATCCCATTCTTGTGAAAAACAGGATTTTTTCACCAAAAAGGGGTGTTTTTGCCTCTCCCCACCCCCCAAAAACACTGCAGGCTTCAGCAGGGCTGGGGAAGGGAAAAATGTCCCCGTTTTGGTGAAAAATGGGCTGTTTTCCATCAAAATGGGGATGTTTCTGCTTTTCCCCACCCCCCCAGGAGCACCCTGCAGGCTTTAGCAGGACTGGGGAAAGGAAAAATACCGCCGTTTAGGTGAAAAATGTGGTCGTTTTTGCCTTCCCCCAGCCCTGCTGAAGCCTGCAGAGTGTTCCTGGGGGCCGGGGATGACCAAAAAAATTTTTTTTCTTACTTACCTCTTCGAAATCTTGGTGTGTCTTATACACTGGTGCATCTTATTGTCTGAAAAATACGGTATGAAGGTTGTTTTACTACTGAATGGCAAGAATTTTTTTTCCTCTTAAGATGCATATCTTTTGTTTTCAGTTTCCCTGTAAGTTTCCCAGGCTGAGAAGTAATCAAGCTTACCCTCTTATATCAATATAGGTTGGTATACGGTCAGTCCTTCAGGGACGCAGTGGCTAAGCTTGTCGATCAGAAAGGTTGGCAGTTTGGCGGTTCAAATCCCTAGTGCCACGTAACTGAATGACTTCCCCTTACTTGTCCCAGCTTCTGCCAACCTAGCAATTTGAATAGGAAAATAGGAACCACTTTTGGTGGGAAGGTAACAGCACTTCGTGCGCCTTCGGCGTTTAGTCATGCTGGCCACATGACTACAGAGATGTCTTCGGACAGCGCTGGCTCTTTGTCTTTGAAACGGAGATAAGCACTGTCCCCTTGAGTCGGGAACAACTAGCACATATGTGTGAGGGGAACCTTTATCTTTACCTTTTTAAGGTCAGTCCCTTATCCCTTGGACCAACCTTTCAAAGGCCTAGATTATATCAAAATGTTCCTTTTCTTTAGTTTGGAGAAAGACCTCCAACTCTTTAAAGATAAATTTGATGTTATTTTCTACTTGTGTGCCAGTCTCTGATGACAGTTTCCAGCAAAAGGGGAATGTCAGGGAAGAAACTTTGAATCAATACTTGCGACAAATTAGCTTATTATTTGGCCAAAAAGATGATGCCTAATTTAAAAATGAATGAGTGAAGCTTAACCAGTTTTCATAGACTATATATTTTTTTTCTTTTTAGGTCTGGAATAGCAATCTCCACTCCAGAAGTTGTTTCAAAGAGACTCAAAGCTCTAAGATGCCATGGTCCATTATTTGCTGTGTCATTTCTGACTTTTTGGATTGCCTGGGCCAACCCAGGCTTACAATTCCTTATCTGTCTCTGCCTCTATGACAGCTTCCTTACTGTGGTGGATCTAAACCAGAATGCTTTGCTTGCTGATCTCGCCGTGTCTGCAAAGGATAGGACTGACCTCAACTTCTACTCTTCACTCTTTAGTGCCATTGGCTCCCTCTCAGTTTTTATGTCCTATGCTGTGTGGAACAAAGAGGACTTCTTCTCCTTCAGGGTGTTCTGTGTGGCTCTAGCTTTCTGCTCAGCACTTGGGTTTACCTTGGCGACATGGCTACTGAGGCAGTGGCTTCAGACAGATGGACACGTGAAATGGGATGAAAACGAAGCATTAAAAGAGTGAGTGGTGTTTGGTTGTCTAGTATCTTTTCTCATTTTAAATAACTTGCTCAGTGTATAAAAAATGTTGTGGGTAAACAGTGACCGCTTTTTCCAAGTATTGTTTTATTCCTTGTGAAAGAAATGACTAAAGACTTTTAAAAATTCCATCTCCTTAAAATTTGAAGAGTGCAGGTTCTTTTAAAAAGCAGCACATGATTGAGCTTCCAGATCCATGATTGGTGTGAAACCAAAGAACCATGCTTTCCATGGTTTGTAGTGGAAATTTTAAATTATTAAACTACCGTATTTTTCAGAGTATAAGATGCACCGGAGTATAAGACGCACCAAGGTTTTGAAGAGGCAAACTAAAAAAAAAAGGGTTTTGCACTCTGCAGACCTCCCCAAAACACCCTGTTTTTCGTAAAAACTGACCCATTTCCCCCCCCCCCAAAAGGGCATGAATAGCATTTAGGAGGCTTGTAGAGTGCTCCGGGGGAGAGGGGACAAAAGCAAGCAAAAAACGGCCCTTTTTGTCAAAAGAAAGGGCATGTATAGCCTTTAGGAGGCTTATAGAGTGCTCCTGGGGGCTGGGAGGCCCAAAAGTGAACAACAAACTGCCGTTTTTCACTCATTTCTGCACTCCCCAGTCCCCAGGAGCACTCTGCAAGCCTCCTAAAGGCTATGCAGAGCCATTTTGGTGAAGGGGGTGGGATTTCAGGAGGCAAAAAATGCTGTATTCAGTGTATAAGACACACCCAGATTTTCAGCCTCTTTTTGAGGGAAAAGGGTACGTTTTATACTCCAAAAAAATACAGTATATAGGAATACAGTTTCAGCACTTCTGAATAGATAGCTAGTGAGATAGCTAGCTAGATAGCTAGCTAGAATTCTTTATTGGCCAAGTGTGATTGGGCACACAAGGCATTTGTCTTTGGTGCATATGCTCTCAGTATACATAAAAGAAAAGATACATTCATCATGAATCATAAGGTACAACACTTAATAAAAGTCATAGGGTACAAATAAACAATCAAATCATACTAGGAAACAACAAATTGTAAGGATACAAGCAACAAAGTTACAGTCATACGTGGGAGGAGATGGGTGATAAAGTATGAAGTTGTTCTAACTGGATTTCGTATTTAATCTCTCTGAATATTGGATGCGTTTAATCCATATATGTGAAAGGTTTGTGCATAAGAAGCCTGTTCACTCTGATACGTAAGGGCTTTTTCTGATAGTCAAATAAAATATGTAATGCTAAAAACTAGCTGCTTTGCAATTAACTAAAGTTATTTAACTGGATTTCTCAAAAACATCTGGCTAATATTTAGCTTTTCTTTTAAACTTTTTGTAATGTTTTAAATACAATATTTTAACGTGTGCTCACTATCTCCTTTTATTCAAAATCAGGTCTCATCTCTTTCTTCTTTGTTTCTTTGTTTGTTTGTTTCCAGTGACTATCTGGACTAGTCCCTGCAGTTTTTTTGGCAAGGTTTTCAGTAGTGCTTTGCCATTACCCCCATCCTATGGCTAAGACACACCCAGATTTTCAGCCTCTAAGAGACTGTAACTGTTCCAAAGTTACCCAGTTGGCTTAGTGCTTAAGGCACAACCAGACCTTACAGACACTTGGTTTTTCCTTTGGTGTCCTAACACCATGATAAACCGTCTCTCTGAATAATTTATAATATAATTTAATAGATAATACCAATAGCAATAGCAGTTAGACTTATATACCGCTTCATAGGGCTTTCAGCCCTCTCTAAGCGGTTTACAGAGTCGGCATATTGCCCCCACAATCTGGGTCCTCATTTCACCCACCTCGGAAGGATGGAAGGCTGAGTCAACCTTGAACCGCCGAACTGCAGATAGCAATCAGCTGAAGTGGCCTGCAGTACTGCACTCTAACCACTGCGCCACCTCGGCTCTTATAAAGCCTGTCATACAAAAATTAGGGATTGTAATTCCCATCAGATCTAGTCGGCATAACCTAAGAGCAGGAGTGTCAAACTCATGGCCCGGATGTGTAATATGTTGGCTCCACCCCCATTCAGATTAGCGAAGGGGAAAAAATCCCGATATGTCATGTGACAACACTGTGATGACGCGAGTTTGACACCCCTGCCCAAGAGGAAGGTGAGGCTCAAAATATCTGAAGGACACTAGGCTCTCCCTTTCTGATATAATACAGTTGATGATAATTGTCTATTTTTCCTTGTGACCGCTATCCTTCCCCATGAAGTTTTTAGCTTTAATATTGAGAGATACAGAAAAATGAAACAAAATATCAGTATCTGCAAAATGGCCTCAAGCTTATTGTATAATTCTTGAGCACTTTTGAAATGAACCCTGTAAATAGAGATGGAGCTTGCCTCCTGTAACAAAATGGTGACAAATTCACCTTGAAAGTTTTACTGAAGTCCTCTTTTAAACAAATTGTATTCCATGTTGCTTTTGGTTTGGTGACTGATAAAAATACTAGATAAAGAGACAAGACAGAGATTATTATTCATTTGTATCCTGTTCTTGCATGATATGATTGTTTTGGAACTTTATCCTCTCTACCTAATAAGTGTTCAAGAAGATAAGGATCTGAATTCATTATATTGGCTATCTTTAAAATGTGGAATTTGTTCCTGCAGATTATACATTGATCATCCTTCTAGAAATCAAGATAAAAGAATCACACTGGCTGAGTACCTCAAACAACTTTCCAGACATCACAATTTTCTATGGTTTGTCTCCATGAATTTAATGCAGGTAGGGGTTGCATAGTCTCTGTAACAAAACAATACTGGCTGCTAGCTAAAAGCCCAGTTAGTACATTGATAGGGATTCTATCCAGCAGAGTGTTGGTGATCTTTCAGATAATTTCATAAATCTCTGATAATTGTTTCTGTCTCTGTATTCAATATTATGTTTAAATTACAGCTACCAGAATTCTCAGCCAGCCTGGTTCAGGAGCATGTTGGCTAAGATTTCTAAGAACTATAATTCCAACACTTCTAGAAAGCAATGGATTGGGAAATTTGGAATTAGGAAATTGTGTTGAAAGATTTCAGAATGAATGTGACTAATAGTCTCCTCTTGACTATGTGTGACAAGTCAGCTACTGGAAAAATGTATGATAATTTTCCAGTTTCCTGTTTCTCAGACAAAATAATTTGTATGGTGGGATAAGAACATTCTTGAGAATTCTAAATGTTTTGTGCTTTTTTCATTAAGAGAAAAGTAATGCTTTCCTTTTGGGAATAAATTTGAAGTTAATCTTCAAAAGTTACTGTGTGCAATGGAACAAAGGTTCCTTTTCTGCATTCTTCATCAGTATACTTTCATATTACAGGAGAAAAGGCTAATGAGGCCATTCTGTCTTCAAACATGGCATTCCTGTTATATGATGAGTGGATGTTCTTAGCATTTGCAGATGTCGATGCAGTATTAATTGGCAGTGCAGACTCTGGTTTATTTACATATTAGCAAAAATAATGTACAGCCTGAATACTATATAACGTGGTACAAATAATTGTTGTCACAGCTTCTTCACTTAATAACCAAGAAAGAAACCACTCAACTCCATTTTGCAGAATTAAGAGTACTTTTACTGATTATAAGTAATTAGAAGCTAAGCAAAGCTGGATCTGAGCAATAGGCGCGAAAGCATTAGATATCAATACATGATTCATTCCCCTCCCCTTGGTACCCCAGTCCCTAGTCCAATCATATATCACCACAGCTGTCAGATGGGAGACAACTTCAAAAATCATCATCAGGTTGGTATGCCGGACAGTTGGCCTTGGCGGGAAACTCCCCTCCTTCCACATGCGCAAACGAATGGTGAGAACTCCCAATTAACAGTCCTCCTGCACAGATTATTTCCCTCACCCAAATACCATGCCCCCCCGTTTCACTGGCAGCCAAAAAGCAAGCAGCAAAACAGAGGCTGACAGTTGTGTTATGAAGTCAGCAGCAGCTGCATCCTGAAAGTGATAAAGCACAGCTTTTTTTAGAATATTGTTGTCACCCTGATGTCAAGACAGGCTTGTGTGAGAATATTTTCCTGCCAGGTTTTTAGGGTCTTATGAAAGGCTGACAGAGTTGGGGCCATTCTACTTTCCGAAGGGAGGATGTTCCATAGAGCAGTGATCATTGCAGAAAAAGCCTATCTTCTAATCCCCACCAGCCAACACTGTTTGGCTGACAGGATCTCCACCATGCCTAGATCGAGTTGAATGGGTAGAGAAACTTGGAAAAAGGAAATCCTTCTGGTAACCCCATCCTAAGCCATGTACAATCAGCATCTTGAATTGCATCCTGAAACATACCGGTAACCAATGCAGCTCGCACAGAATTGGTGCTATGTGTGCCATGTATCTGGCCCATTTACTATCTAGACACCTGCATTCTGCACCAGTTGAAATTTTTGAATGTTCTTCAGGGGCAGCCCATGTAGAGCATATTGCAGTAATCTTGCAGTTATTCCTTTCAAAGAGCTTATTTAGAGCCAATTGTGCAATATAAACTACTGGGTTCCATCATTCTCTGGAACAGATTTAATTCTTTCTGATCTAATACAGGCCCACTGAACTGGCTTGAATATTTATTTTTGTGGGGCCGATATTGCATTAAGGAGAGCGTGTTTATTTGTTCTCTAATTGTCTTTTTATAGAGCTTATTAATGTGTTTTACAGGTTTTTCATTGCCACTTTAACAGCAATTTCTTCCCTCTGTTCCTGGAACATTTGCTGTCTGATCGCATTTCCCTTTCAATGGGATCATTTCTTCTAGGTAAGTCCAAGGTAGGAAGCACTGCTCAGCCATAGATTCTTGCTTTCCAGAAATTGTTCTGCAGATATATTCAACTGCAACATATAATGACCATGCTACCTGGGCACATTTAGGGGTATGAAACAGGTAAAGCTAGTCTGGAGAATGGATATTTTTACTTTTTAAAGGTAGAAAATATATGACCCATCTCAGCTGAATCATTTTCTGGAATTACTTTTTTTAATTTCTTTCTCTTGAAAAAAAGAAACTTTACAGATATAACACAGCATCCAATAGTATAGATCCAAATTATGTAAGTTAGTTCTGGTCATTCTCTTAATTAAGTATGACGAATAGTATAGTCTTTTAAAGGTAGCGTTATATATATTCTTTGTGTGTGAATTCCATGAAAACCAATAGGACCAGTAACAAGACTATAGGATAGAAGTCAACCAGACAGAATTCCATTACATTTTCCTGTATCCTCATAGTTCTTTTTCTGTTTACTGGATATGCTTATTGTAGCTAATAAGTTGTTTAGTGATCTCTCCTTCCTTACCACCCTCTCTCCCTCTCTCATAAATGAGTGATACTAAAGTACTATCACTTTGTCATATTAGTATAGTTCAGACCTGTATGGAAACCAATGTTCAAGGATCAGACAAATTTATTTCTTCCAGGAGTTTTGGATTAATATTTTCAGAATCCCTAACTGACATTCACATTGGGTGTGTTATGAGAGCTTTAATTTTAAAAAAATCTAGATTATTTTTAAATATTTTTTTAAAAATCATTTAGTACGGGGTTCTTTTTTTTAGTCTAGAATGAATCCAGGATATAGAATCATGCAGAATGAGGTCGATTTAGTATAAATTTGGACCTCTAAATTTTAAAACAAAACAAACCTCAAACTCTACTACTTATCATAAATATTTATTCCATTTTAAATGGAAAAAGTTCTTAGAGATGTCAGTGCTATGCAAAGGCATTTGCTTAGCAGGAATCAATCAATGTTTACTTAAGTCACTGTGGAAGGCTTTTTAGTTTATATAAAACTTGAATTCATGTAATCTAAACCATGTACACAACAAGACCAAACATGACCTATTCTGCAGAAACTGACATGTTCTTTGGTTAAAAGAACCAAAATGAATAGTCAGAAAAACTTCTATGCATGTTTCAATTTTCCTGTCTCTGGAAGAAAGCTTATTGTCATACTCATGGCATCTACCAAAGGGTCCTGTTGATTTTCATGGATTTTCAGTGATCAGAAAATAGAATGATTTAATTTCAAAGGCTGTAGTAGTGAATTTCTACCCAGCAATGGAAAGAATTTTTCCTAAAAAATCTTTATAGACTAAATCTATAAAATTTGCGGCAAGTTATAATCTAAAGGAAAATTGGTGCAAAATGTTTTACAGGTGTTATACAAACTCTATCAGCAATAGCTAAGATAGACCAATCATTTAGAAATAAATATTGGAAATGCCCTGAAACATAAAAACATTGTACCACAGGTGATAAACCTGTAAAAAGTCACAAAAGTACTAGAAAGTCTTGCATGATTTTATGTAGAAAACCTTGGGATTTATATTTGAAATGAAGACACAATTTATTAGGAATAATCTCAGAAAAAAAGCAAAAAAAAATCATTCTAATTGAACAAAATATATGCTTACAGTAAGAAGAATAAGTTTTGCCCCACATTGGAAGAAAGACATGGCTATTTGATCAGAAACGTTAACTTCACTTGGAGAATATGAGACAACGGCAAAACATATACAATACACATACAGAATAGAAATGTCACTAAATTTAAGCCAGAATTGGTCCCACATATAAAACCTATCATGTAGCCTAGCAAATATAATCACATTTACATTTTTGCAAATATTGCAAAATATTAGAACCTAGAAATCCAATGTTTTGTTTTTATTTTTATGTTTTATTTTTCTTCTATTTTTTATTTTGGATATTTCAATTCTTGTTAAATTTTCTCTGTTTCCCCCCCTGCCTCCCTTTCATTAGCACAAGCACAGTCACAAGCATACCAAGTAAGAACATAATGGGCACTTTAATATTCAATAATTAGCTTACATTCAGAAGTTTTATATCATAATTCAGTGCAAGTTGTACTGGTTTTCTCAATGTTATGTTCTAAATAATCTAGATTTGATAATTGTAATATTGTTATCTTAAATCATAGTATTGACAGAATATTTTTCTCTATTTTCAATACTCTTAAGCTGTAAACATCACTATATTGAAATAATACAATGTATCAGCATTTCTAATACCGACAATACTATTAACTGTATCTTTTAATGTCCGTTTATTGCTTTTATTTTTTTTAGACTTTTTAAAGAATTTTGTTTTTATACTTTCTAGCTTTTTATATAATTTTATTTTTGTATGTTGTATTTTTGTTTTCAATTTTTTTGTAGCACACCCACCTTAATCTTTAACCATAATAAAGGTTGATATATTGATTGGAGGAGAAAGAATCAGACATTAATCTGATTTCTTTCTTTCCTTCAATCAATCAATCAATCAATCCTTTATTATGATTGATTGATTAAGGTAATGCGGCTATTGTAAAAGGAGGAACATGATTTGTTATAAAATTATGTCTAGTTTGTGCTGCTAAAAATGTTATTTAATGTAGTGAAATCAGGTCCATTTTATGCTTTGAGTTCTTAAAATCAAAGGCCCCCAAAGTAATTTTAGCTGGTTTATTCATAATGTATGCTTATTTCTTCATTTCTTGCTAGGTATGTAAACGCGAATGAAGTCATTACCAAGAAAAGAAAAACATGTCTAGTTTGGTATTAACTTCAGGATTTTAGGCAGGTCTCCTTTCCTACACTTCCTCTAGATGGGGAAAGATTCTGTCCAGGAACTTCTGTACTGTAAATAAATATTGTGCCATTAAGCACTGACCCTCCTTTATTTATTCTTTGTCATAGGTGTTTCCTACGTGGCTCCTCATCTCAACAACCTCTATTTCCTCTCTCTCTGCCGGAGGTGGGGCATATATGCTGTGGTGCGAGGGCTTTTCTTCCTGAAACTGTTGCTCAGTGTAATAATGCTCTTTGCTGGACCAGATTGGATCTACCTGCTCTGTTTCTTCATAGCCAGGTATTTATTGCTATATTGCTATGGCACTGGAGAATTGGGCTAGGTAAACACAATGGACTAGGCCTCTATGATAAAATATTAGACATAGATTGACGTCATAGAAAGTGAAGCTAACGTTTGAATTCTGGGTGCATGCTTAGTTATTTATATTTCTTGAGATACTAATGTTCTTTGGGGATGATTCAACTTGTGAAGGATCAGTTTTCTGAAGCTCAGTGGGTTTTTCATCTTTTTTTAATATTACAAATCTAGCTCTTGAGGAATGAGGAGTTGCGGCTAATGATTTGGTGAACAGAGTTGGTGAACAGAATTGATGCCATGCTGAAAAGCATATTAACGTGGGGACAGATGTTTTGGGTTTTTTTGGCTAGGGACCACATTATGATTATTTTTATTTTTCATTAAAGTCAGATTCTGATGGCTACAGGAAATGTGAATGTATTAAGAAATGTATGAATAGGCTATGGTAAATTTGATCCTTTTTAATTGTGGGGAAGGTTGAAAAGAAATAGATGTTTTATGTCCTAGAGAAACTTATCAAATCTTTTATTGATCGATTGAATTTATATAGCTGCCCTCTCACATACGTGACTATTATTAAAAAAGCAAAAGCAAAAAACAATTAGGACAATTAAAAGGTAGAATTAGAAAACACTGAGGAGTACAGTCAAAATCCACAATGCAGCAATTTTGCAGGTTTCTATTTCCCAAGGCCTAATGGCAAAACCAGGTTTTCAGCACCTTCAGGTGAACAATAGGGTTAGGAACAATCTCACCTCGGTGGTAATGATATTCCAAAGTGTTTTTTTTCATATTTTAATTACAAAGAAATATTAAAAATTGTACAAATGAACTTTTACACTTTATGATGATAAATTTTGGAGGGAGCTGTGGGGGGTTGCAAGTAGAGCCTTTTCCCACATGCTTCTTTTGTGTTTCTTTTATGGATCTTTTTCTGAATATCTACAGTAGTCAATCTAGGAATGAAGGCCAATAAAAAACAAAAAACCTGTACCAGCTGTCTTCAGTTGTATTCATGTACATGCACCGACAGAAACACATACAGTATATAGATACATACACATAAGCAATCAAGCAAAGTTTCTTGCACCGAGTTAACTCCCAGTTGTTTCAAATCAGCCAAGAAAGAACTGGAATTTCTCTTAGCCTGATGCTAGTGCTTTCTGTTAACAGCCTCCCTCTCTTTTTCCTTAGTAACCGTGTATTTACTGAAGGGACTTGCAAATTGCTGAACCTGGTAGTGTCTGACTTGGTGGATGAAGACTTGGTACTAAATCGGAGGCAGCAGGCTGCCTCAGCCCTCTTATTTGGCATGGTGGCCTTGGTAACCAAACCAGGCCAAACCTTTGCCCCCTTGATTGGCACCTGGCTGCTTTCTGCTTACACTGGTAGGTGAAGGGCAGTGGGGGAATTGGAGGGAATAGCAGAGCAGGATAACTGATAGTTTTTCTGATTGGGCAGACAACACATCAGCAATGACAATATTCATTGTTCTGCTTTTTATTGTCAGATTATTTTTTCTTGGGAATGTCTAGAATAGGTCTAGAAAAGAAACAGCACAGTGGTTCCTCTTAAGCTCGTCCTTTCTGCTGAATTGTGAATCTACAGAAGAAAATCCCTTTCCCTTAGTGATGGAGTGGTTCATGTTTTGCTTTTCTAGATACCACACCAGAGAGCTTTCTGATTGAAAGGAGCAAACTTAGGATTGTTTGTTCATGAATAAATCTCATACCCAATAGGCACCCCCAAAAGGAATGGGGGTTTTCTATCACTAAATATGCTTGATGGAAAAGATTTTAATCTAAACTTTTAAAGATTATTGTTTAAGAGAATTTCATTTTCTTTTGTTTTGCTAAGATCACTTCATGCAGGGAAATATCTGTATTTCTATTGAAGGATCTTCTTGAGAAGTGCAGTCGCAGTATAAAAGTGAACAGAATCCCCTGCCTCACTGCCACTTGGCCCCTACTCACTTGTTTTTACTATTTTTTGCTAAAAAAAGAGAAAGAAATAAGTTTTGGTTTTAAACCGAGGGAACAGGCAGGACACACCTTACGTTTGTTTGATCAGGAGAACTGTTACTTTTTACTCTGTGATTCAGGTAGACTTACAAAGAAGTAAATGGCCATTCAAATAATGTCCTGGTTATAAATATTGAAAACTTGCTCAAGGCCAACTTCATTATTTTTACAAAAGCAGATAATGGAGACATCAGGAGGGCTGTTGAAGTAGAAGTATATGAATATAATAGGGAAAGAAATGAAGAAATGTTTTCGTAAATGACAAAATCAGATGAGACCTTCTCAATTCTTGAAATCATTCCCATCTTTCTTGTTGACCCAACTTCTCAATCTCATCTTTCTTTTTGACCCAGGTTATGACATTTTTCAACGGGATCCCTTGAGCAGTATAGTGAGTGCCCAGCCAAGGTTGGCTTCCAGTGTAGCCTGGAAACCCACTCTACGCCAGGGCTGCTTCTACCTCCTTGTCTTTGTCCCTATGACTTGTGCTTTACTACAGCTTCTCACCTGGTCACAATTCAGCTTGCACGGCAGACGCCTTCAGAAAGTGAAATCTCAACGTCAAGCTTTTACAGAGAGTCACTCTCGAGAAATCAAGACTATTTAATTGAGAGTGAAGATAACAGCGAGCGGCATCTTCCCACTGTTGATGACTGCATGACCCATTTAAAAAGGAAAAAGTGGGAGTAAACAGGAGTTCGTTACATCTTCTTCAGATCAGCATTGGCTAGTGGAAAATAAATGGAAGCTTTTGAACTATCTTGAATTTTTTTGTGAGGCTGTCCAGGGTCCAGTCAGTCTTGTAGAATTCATAAAGTTTTCAAAGTTTGTATCTTCTGTATCCAAGACTGTCCAGAAAAAGTGATTGCCTTGTATTTTAAAAAATATTTTATCAATTACTTGCTGTTCATATTGATACTAATTCATTTCCAGGCTAGGGAGCTAAGCAATCAGATTACCCATAGTCATATTAATGAAGAAGAATTAGAGTTGAGTAAATTGGCAACCTTCTGGTCTTTGTATCACAAACTCCATATACTGTTTACAGACATCTTTGCCACAGGTGATAGATAGGTTTTAAGTATTCCATTAGCTCTGTTCTTTTTTGCATTGGATTGGTAGTCAAACTTGATTTAGCCAAATACAGTTAAAATAATTGTAACTTAATGATTTCTCACGGTGGGCAAGAGCACTTAGATTCTGTAAAATAGCTTCTCTGATATTGAAACTGGTCATGTATTGCCTTTTCAAGAGAATGAATATACTTCATTCCCACTCATAGTTCAAGATAGAAATTTGTTTTTAAAAGTAGAGTACTAAAAGCAGATGTAGCAGTCAGAAATTAAAAACATGCATTTTCAATCTTTAGTCCTAATGGTTATGCTGAAAATCCACTTTCTCTTGTTCTGCCAAAGGTGGAATAAGGGCTGGTGGTCTGTGCATTTCTACTGAACCAGTGCCGAATGTTGGTTTGTTCACGGATGACTGACAATTCTGCTTTTCTGAGACTGCCCCTTTCTAAAAAAGCTGCCACTAGCTGAGCAGAACTGGTCATGAAATCATTTTTTTTGCAGAAATACTGATCACAGGAAATGGCCTAAAATTGCCTATATATCATAAATGTCCTTGATTTCCCCAAATGTTTTGGGCTACATTTCCTGTCAGGACCAAATCATATCCTCCTTTGTGCGTGCCAAGTATCAGTTTGTTTAGACAGTAGCCTTAGCTGCTGCAACTGCCATTTTGCCTTCAAAGACCAGGATGATGAAATGTTTACAGCTTTTGTCTTGTTGGATGGATTCAGTATAATTTATTGCTCTCAGTTTGTATACTGATTACCTTGATTTTCATTTCATTAAACATCCTTTTAAAAATCTGTTTTGTGTATGTGTGTGTGCATGTGCATGAGAGACATTGATGGTTTGATTTGTTGACTATATGGTAGTTAATGTTGAGATGATTTTCCAAGAAAGTATTTTCCTCCCATCTCAGGCTATTGGCTGACTTCACCAAATCATGCTAATATACAAATATTGTAAGGGTATACAAATATCAATGTTGGAGTTAGGACAATATATTTAATATGAACCAGATTTAAGCCCTTTTCTCTCATTATTATACATGTAAGAGAAGTTACAATTACCTGCTAGGAAATGTGAGAGCATTTTTCTGTATGGTGTCTTTCTACATCATAAACTTTCTCTGTGTATCCCCCCTGAGGGTTTTTACCCTTCCTTTCTGAAAAAAAAAGGAAGGAAAAACTAATCCAGTGGAATCTCCTCTTGGTTTCTTTCCTAGATTTAGCCTGCATGCCAAACTGCAGGCACAGGCACAATCCACATGCCCAGAGTAGAAAGCAATGCAGACATTGATTCAGATAGGCAAAGGTTTATACTGCATGTTTTCTTTATTCAGCAAGTTTGAGTTTGTTTATCACTAAGGAAAAGGAATAGCTGAATCCTTTGGTCACCACACGCATTTATAGTGCAGGGTCATGCAGTGGTCCTGTTGTATTTTCACCTTTTGCATTTTGACTCCTACACTGCCAGAAAACCAACACGAGGAATGTGAGTGCCTCTTGCTAGGGTCAGAAGGTGGATGCCAACTGTGGTTTTCCGAGACCGTTGGTGGCAGAAGGCTCAATCAAGCTGCCAACCCAAGTATATCATTAAAATACCAGTAATAACAAAAATACCAATTATATTAGGCCAGCCTAGCTGCATAACCTGGAAATGTTCCTCCAACTCACTGGAATGTTTTAAACTGAAGAAAGCTTGTCTAGTATGTAAGAATCCTAGCTGTCTTAAGGAACGCTACAATAGATAGAAGATTAAAATTTGGCTGAATCTGCTACCAAGAGTCTGCAACCTTAAACACTCAAAGAGCCAATTGGACCCGTTTCCCACAGAAAACAGCGGGAGCCAATAATTTCATAACTGGTTTGACTGCGTAGCCGTGGCCAACTCAATGTCACTCCTACCCAGTCACATGATATCCCCCCAGTCATGCCTACCCAACAGGTCATTAGGGCAGAGAACCGGTTATTAAATTATTTGCCCCTCCCAGCCCTACCTCAATCCTCCCATCCCAGCCACCTTTTGCCACACCCAGCCTCGGGTGTGTTGTTCACCCTCTATCACCTCTCCCCTCTTTCCTCTGTCTCCTTTCCTTCTCTGTCCTTTTCTGTCTCTCCATTTCCCTTCTCTCTCTCACCTCTTCCCTTTTTCTACTCTCTCCCTCTCCTTTTCTCTCTCTCTAGCCAAACAGAATTACTTCCAAAGAGGACACCAACTCCTCAAACCATATTTTCTCTTCTGTTTAATTCTGCCCAACTCTCTGCAATTTTCTTGGCAATAGTTTTTTCCCCCAGAAGTGGTTTGCCACTGCTTCCCTCATAGGGTAGAGAGAAAATGATTGGCCCAAGATAACTAAGCAGGCTTTGTGTCTAAGATTCCAAAGAAAATAAGATCACTCCCATTAATTGAATCAAACAGTTTCTCCAATCAAATAATTACACTATGTATTAATAATTTTATTTACGTACAGTAGGCAATACCCCACAGTGATTTGCACATCTGTGTGAAGTATAGCATCGGACTGATAAAACCAGTGCTGGGTTTGTCTGTTTAGTATACAATTTTACTGCTTCTGATGTCAAAACAAATTGCCATGAATTAAAAGAAGGGGGTAATTAAGGATTGTTTATACATAGGAATGCTACTTCCACAAACATACAGCCATAAACATGAACTAAAACAAATTACAGTAATGGTTTGCCATCCTTCATGCCAGTACAAGCTGTAGCCCTTATTATTTCCAACTGACCCTTCATTACTGCAATTACAGTACCAATTTCATTAATACTAAAATTTTCTGTTTTTTCAAGTAACTCAAGTAAGACTGAAGGCCTCCAAAGTAATAGCCTGCACTGGACAAACATTTCAAATGCTATACAACTAAAATAAAATGTGACATTATCATAGTGCAAGGTAAGAAATATGGGCTAGGTGCCCTTTTCCTGCAGTGAAAAACCAGTCCTGTGGTCTTCCATCAGAAATACCAGGTTACCCTGTACATAAATCTTGTCAAAAGAAAAGCTAATACAATACTCAATATTTTTTTATTAGGCTACTGCCTCTAAACCTGCATTTAACCCTTTAGTTTTCTAAACGTTGTCTAATGACAGTACCCCTTCTACCATATTTGAACATATTTAGAGCCAACAGGAAAAGTATACTTGTATAGAAAAACAGACCTATAACTCAAGCCTTGATCAACACAACAATGAACTTGCTTGAGCCTCTGCTCTGAAAGCAAATAGTTAAAATAAAAGCAGAGCAACTTCTCAAGATCTTGCTTAGGCATGCAATGAACTTTTGAATCAAGCATAGCAGAAATTTCATTTCAGTTCCAATCACAAACGAAATGACTTGTTCAGGAAGGTTTAATTAAAACAATGACTGAATTGGGAGATTGTTATTTTGTAATGATGATATGATTTCCTAGCAATGTCACCTAAATGCTTAGGATACATCCAAGGTAAGAAAACCATAAATAATATCAGGAAATAAAGAAACACACAGGAGATCATTTGTAGCAGCATTTTAGAAGAACCTTACAAAATGTAGTGTACAGTCATTTTATTTTTTAATGTAACTATTATTCTCAATAAACTGTGAACCTAGAAAATGCCTTGTGCTATTCTTTAATCTTAGAGGATTATTAAATGGGCAGAGTCATTCTTGTCACAGTATAGATTTCATTAATGAAGATAAGGACATAATGGTGAAATCTGAATATTATTCATTAAAGGAACATTATCGCTCTATCCCCCAAATCCTTTCTTTGTAACAGAAGAAATGGCTACAAAGGACTCTACGTATTCCTGTACTACACAACTATTTATGTACACTTCGAGAATTGCTGAATTCAGATGTTTGCTTTCCTCTCTTATAAGTCAATTCTAATTAGACTCTTCTGAAAATATATCTGCTCTTACACTAAAAGGGGACTAAGCAAAACATACTCGGGAGAATTATATCTTTAGGTCTTACCCTATTTTTAACACTAAAGAATGGCTGAATAATGCACAAGACTATATGTATTATATGCATTTCTAATCAGCCTGCTGGCAAGAGAAGCTATATTTCCTCCATCCATTCAGCCATAATGGATCTTCCTCTTATGAACACTGAAACAGAGGCAGAATTCCACTAAATATCCAGTTTGCCTACTTAATTCTTGTATAATTTTTCTGAGAATGCTAATAACCTAAGAAGGAAAACAGGCTTTCAACCAAAAACACAACAGGACCACATTTATAATATACTAATAGCAAACACTCTGTATTTCTCCTCTGGGATAGTACAAGTTATTTAATATTTACTTCTGACTACGGTTTCTCTTCCAATATTTGACTATTGGTAGATGTAAGGCTTTTTTTTCCTGATGCCTAATCTTCAAATACTTAAATGGACAAAAATGCAAAAATATTTGGTTTTCAGCAGCAAAGTAAAAAAACATAAGCACCAAAATATACATAAAAAAATAAAATAAAAAATGAGTTCAAAGCAGATTTTCATTTCTGTAGCATAGAAAATCAGAGGCTGACATTATTTTAGAATGCCAACCTTCTGTAGATTACTATTAAACTCAAACATTCTGATACAGTTCATATTTTTCTCATGTGGTGCATTCACTGAAACAACAAATCAAAAAATAATGCAGTAGGGTCGCCAAACAGATCTCATAGTATTTAACAAATATTTTGTTAAAACATTAGTGCTAGTATTAAACTATGAGCAAATACAATCTAATAGGACACAGAAAATGGTGGAACTAATTTATAGTAATAATAGTTCAGCAACCACTAAAACTCCTCAATAAATAAAACAACTCTGGAAAACAATTGCATGGCTCCCCACCAAGCTTGGCTGAAGGTCCTTTGGGCAGAAATTGTGACACAGGAACAATGTCTTTGCATTTCAGGAAGAATCAGTATTAATTTAGAAACTACATGTTTGGGAAAAGAGACATGGTGAGCAGAGGAAGAATAGAATGGGCCATCAAACACATTTTGGAATCATCTTCCAATTAGTTAAATGACATCTGCTTTATTACAGGCTGCCAAAACCAACTGTCTAGAAAAGAACAAAGAAGGCTCTTTCTGATTTATGTCATGCAATATAAACTAGTTCCTAAAATTAACTGCTCCAACTATCATATCGTGATTCTGATTCACACACATCAGCCTAAGAATATACATACATGTACAAAGCAGTAAATGGAGTAGTAATAGTTAAGAATGTGCTTATTCTCTTTTCTGCATATGTCAGGGGAAAAAAGTGGTGTGGAAGGAAAGCTCTGAATTAACCATCTAAAAAATATCTGCTGAGCCCTGGAAATAACTATCATTTTCTGTGCTCAATTTCCACCTGGTCAGCCTATTTAAATTTGATCCAATGTTAGTTGACATTTCCTATTTCTATCTTATTATTCACTTTTATATTACCCAAAGTTTCTTCTGAAACATAATAGGGTTTTCTTCCTTCCCCCTTAAAGGTTTGTGGGTCACCTAGGAAAAAAAAAAAAGGGGGGGGGATTTTTCCAGTGTATTAAGTCTCAAACCCACACAACCAATTGGAAGTCAAGCCAAAACCCAGCTTTCCCTTTGGCTCTGTGAAAGTCCAGGGTGTGCTGGCACCCATCTATCCATTCATGCATACACAGACAACCCCTTAGAGATTCAGAAAAGAGAGTTAAGAATAAGAACAAATATCTAAAGAGATCCCTGAACTTGCCAGGGTTAGAAGGTTTTTCGGTGGATTGCCCAGGAACTGTCTTCCTCATATTCTTTCTTGGAAACCCACATTTTCTTAAACGTGTCAAGTGAAGCCAGGATGGAGCCTCTGTAGAGGAACAAGCACAGAAGTTAGATGCATGACTATTAGGAATAACTTTTTAAAAATCTTGCTAAAAATAATACTAAACTCATAGTCATCAACTTGTTATTAATGAAAATTAAAGTATGTCCAGAAATTTCTTTTCAAAAGTATGGCAAACAAAATAATCAGCATTTGATTTATCTAAATCCATTTATCATCTATCAGTGGTGGGTTCCAGGCGGTATGCCCCAGTATGGGCGTACTGGTGACAGCTGGGAGCAGTGGCCACCGTACTGGAATGCTGTTTTGGAGGGCCCACCCACCCGCCCTCGTTCCTTACCTGTATTTAAGCCAATCGGGCTATTTGTGCCTGCATGCGCAGTGCACGG